GGACGACCTCATCTCTGGGCCTCTGCTTCCTCATTTCTGAAAGGAAGTCAGAGCACAGGACCAGGAATGCTCCAGCCCGACCTCCATCACTCAGTGACGAGGGAGCCCCATATATGCTGCCACCTGGTCATTTTCTGTCCACACTTTCATCAAACACACCACTTCCTTCTGCTGCCCAAAGGTTCACATTACCCACAATGAAGACCGTGAGCTCCATGCGGGCAGGGCTGAGGACTGTCCTGGATGCCCAGCGGGGACTCAGGAGGGACTAGGTCAGTCCTTCTCAAGCCACCTGTCCCTGCAAGCGCCCCACCGCACAATCTTAGCGGATATATATGTGGTCCTACTGCATGTGACTGGTAGCAGATCACGATGCACAGAACTCGCAACATGAGCTCAGCATCCCCCAAGCTGGTCTACATCCTGTTCAAGGAGACAAGTCCACCAGTGAAGTGCTTAGATGCACAGCAATGCCCAATTGCTATCAGCGTTTGACTTCCTAAAATTCACTTTTATAAGTTCTTGTTAGATGCTGTCAAGTTAGCCCTGAATCATGGCAACCTCATGCACAACAGAACAAATTGTTGCCCAGTCCTACCCCATCCCCATGATCAGCTACAGATCGGACTTTGTGATCCACAGGGTTTTCCTTGCCTAATTTTCGAAAGTAGATTACAAGGTTTTTTCCTACTCTGTCTTAGTCTGGAAGCTCCACTGAAACCTGCTGCGCACCATAGCAACACGCAAGCCTTGACTGCCAGATGCTTATGAGGTGCACTGGCTGGGAATCCAACCTGGGTCTCCCATGTGAAAGAGAATTCCACCCCTGAACCACCTCTACCCACCAATCTTACATATTTTTTTCAAATGTTTTAGTTCTGGAATCTAGGAACTGAACACTTATAAAAAGCAGGCCCCAAACTTGCTCACATAGCAAATCTGCTGGATGCTTTCAGCAGCATGCACCAAGTGCGACGGGAAGCTCATTTGCAAAGAGTTGTCAAAACGTCGGCAGTTGGTATCCACCAGCCGCTTCTTAGAAACCCCATGGGGCAGTTCTATTCTGTACTGTAGAGTTGCTACGAGTGAAAATCAACTAGACGGCAAGGGGTTTGGTTTTTGTGTTTTTACAGGGAAATGATCCTGAGTGGTTTTGAATCATGAAGAGGTTCCTTCACAGACACAAGGTTCTTTCCTAGCCTTTGCAGAAGGCAAGGAGAGGGCAGAAGAGATAAGGGCCTCCAGATAGTAGCGGATCAGGCAACACTGTGCCCCCGAGACAACCCACGCTAGAAGGAACCACCCCCAGGCACCCCAGAGGTACCAGTGCTGCCAAGAAGCCCTTCTTAACCCCCATGGGTCCCTGAATTGCCCTGTCTCAGTGGGACTCTTCTCTCCAGCAAGGTGCACACACTGATTACTGACACTATTTCTGGAGCTCCCCTCTCTGGAATGTTTCTAGATGGCCACCATCACCTTGCACTTTTAGCTCTGTGGAGAATTTCCTCTCCAGGGTGTGGCAATAGGATGTGATGAAAAAAAAAAAAAAAAAGAACTAACCGCCTACAAGTTGAAGGACTGCCACTGGGCTGGGTTGGCAAAACAACTTTTAAGTCACCATGAATGACAGAGGTAACTCCAAGTGGCAAGTCAGCAAGTGTACTCTGACACCTCTTTAGTGGGCAAGAAGGGATCATACAATTTTAAGGTCCGGCAATCTAAACTGGGCCCAGTCTTTTCATACTCCCATGTAGTCAAACTTCCGTGGCTGCCTCTTATCTCCACAATGTAGCCAGCTTTCAAGGCCTTTCATTCAACAAATAGCTTATGAGCAACTACTGTGTCCTAGTCACTCTTTTAGGTGTCAGGAGAAAGTGCTGAAAGAAACTTGGGGGGGGGGGGCCGCTTTCATGGAAATTACAGTCTAATTAGGGAAGACAAATATGTACACACACTTGTAGTTTGTGGTGGCCTGCTGGCTTGCTTCATATTTATTGTTAGCACTGAGGGGTAGAGAAGGCCAGTTAAGGGGGTGGTATTTTAGAAGCCCCTCTAATAAGGTGACATCTAAACAGAAACCTAAAGGAAGACAGGGAGCAAGCCTTGCAGCTATTTGAGGAAAGACTAACCAGGCAAAAGCCAACAGCAACGACCAGGTCCTGAGACAGATGTGCAGCATATTCAAGAAAAAGCAAGGAGGCGAGTTGTCTGGCGCCCAGCGAGAAAGGGAGAGCTGTGAGCTGAGACAGAAGTAGAGGACTAAACAGTGGTGGCTCTATCAGCCATGGTAAGGACTTCGGCTCTTACTCAGAGATGGGAAGCCTCTGGAGGATTAGGAGTAAAGGTGCAGCTCGCTCTGGAATATTTGATCACCACTGCTGCTGCTATAGGGGCGTAAGGGTGGAAGCAGTTTGGGGCCTTTTTGCAATAATCCACATTAGAGGATGGTAGCTTGGATAGGGCTGCAAATAAACGAAGTAGTGCGAATCTGTCAGATTCCAGAAACACTTTGAAGGTACAGTCAATAGGATTTGCTGAAGAACTGAATGTGGCATGAAAGAAAAGGGAAGGTACCAAGTAGGATTCCAAGGTTTAGGGCTGAAGAACTGGAAGAATGGCGCCACCCTTCTGGGGGAGGGGCACACAGGAAATTCAGAGTGTTTAGGGGCATGTTAAGTTTGAGATGCCAATTACACATCTATTAGGCCTTCCACAATCTGGTCCCAACCTCCCTTTCCTCTCTTCTCTATCTCTGAGTCTGTATTCCAACCCAACCACCTGCTTTCCTATAACCTGAGCGTTGATGAGAATTTGTTTGCACTTTTTCCCAGGAATACTTTCCCCAAATAAAAATGGCACCCATCTTTACTTGATTACCAACTGTCCATCAATGAAGCTAGGAACAGCCTAAGTGCCTGATCCATGTCCAGCACAGGGAAGAACATCCATGCTGTCGTGGCCCTGCAGAAACTTAAAAAGAGATGTGAAGGGAAAGTGGATGCACCTTCAGGAGAAAACACTAAACCCCGGAGGAGAAAACAGACTGAGAGGGCAGAATGGGTTTCCCAAGTCAGGGCATATTCCAGCACAGGGGTCCTGCCTGTGACCATGAAGAGCATCTGCACAGAAAGTAGCTCCAGCTGTCAGCCTCTTACACCTCTCTCAGCCTCAGGCGCCTCCTCAGAGTAATGGGCCCGTTGTGGGATTCCAGGGGATGCTGAAGCCTAAGAACCTTTCACAGTACCTGACACACACTGGTACTTCAAGCCAGGCCTCTTCTCAACTCCCTTCCTGCCTACCTGGAACTGCAGTGAAGACTGCACTGATATTGTGACCTTGTTTTATTTTAAAACCTCATGTGTATGCCTTATTAAAGGCAAACCCAAGTATTCTCCTGCTCTATATCACTGAAAGTACTTAGTGTATTTTTATTTGTCAAACCACTACGTGAGAACTTCTTGTTGTGTGCCATCAAGTTGATTTCGACTTACAGCAACCCTATAGTAGAGAGTAAGTACAACTGCCCAATGGGGATTCCTAGGCTGAAATCTACAGGAGCAGATTGCTAGGTCTTTTCTCCCATGGAGCAGCTGAAGGGTTTGAACCGACCTTTTAGTTAGCAGCCGAGCACTTTAACCATCGTGCCACCAGGGCTCCTTATTGTGAGAACTGACCTAGGAACATCTCAATTTTCGCTTTCTCAAAACCTCAGGGCCTCACTCTGGAGACTTCCAGATCATTATGATCCAAGTCCTTGGCGGTGCTTCCCCCAGTTCTTAGCGAGGCTGGATGAGCTTTCTAGGAATCCGTGTGACTAGCTGAGGAGTCGTTAGCACCTTCAAAGCACATTCACACCCACCCGCCCCCTTGTTTGAGGTGCCCAGCAATCCTTGGCAGGGCAGCAGCAGCCAAATGGAGCTCCATCTTCCAGCAGAGGAACAAGAGCAACAGATAGGCTTACCCAGGCTCAAAGAGCCCTTCATCCCTCCACCTGTGTGGTTCTGGGAGGCTTGTGCTTCTGATTAGTTACTATCCCAACCCACAAAATGTAATCACAAGTGACGTAAGTTTGAGATGGCTCTTCCTTGCAAACATTCCTGAACTGAAATCATCCAGAATGTACTGTACACAAGGTGACCTGACACCAAGCACCAAACTGGGGAAACACCCCCGATGGCCAGGCTGCACCTCCAGCTTCCATGCCACTCCATCACCCAGGCTGGGGAAGAGACCAGCAACATTTAAGCGTGCAGTCCTGGAACTGGGGAGGCTGAGCAGCAGACTCGGCCATTTAGGAATTACGGAAGAATAACATGAATTTGCAAGGAATTCCCAAGGAGCTAGCTCTAGAAGCGTTTTCAGCCTGGTTACAGGATGCCTACAGTGAATGATTCATGGGAATAAACTGGTTCCTGTTTTGGCACAGGGGCTCAGATCAGTTGGGGGCATATCTGGCTAGAGGCCAGAGGCCTGGGTGTTAATCCTGGCTGGGTCACACAGGGAGACCTCTAATGTTAATAATAACTACGCGTAACTGCCACTTACCAAGTGCCCAGGGAGTGCCAGGCACCGATTGGGCTTGGGCAACACCTCATTATCTCATTCACTCCTCACCCGCAAGCAAGGGAAGCAAGGGCAATTATCATCTGCGTTTTAGAGATGAGGAAACTGGGGTTCAGAGAGGACCAAGTCACGAGCCACGCCAAAGCCAAGCAGCAACTGGTGGGATCCATGTGATCCCTCGAATCCAGAGGCCTGGTTCTTAATAACCCAACTAATCTGAGTTTCAGTCTCCCCATGAAGAAAAAGAATTAGGACTGGATGAACTGAAACCAGCTTCCAGGCTCCGGGATGTGGTCTCCAGGCGGAGGGGGCGTGGCACCCTCACCCCGCTCAGCCACTGGGCTGGAGACAGGGAGTGGGGAGGGAAAGAGAATTAAGATTCCGAAGGGCACCGCGCAAAAACGGAACCCAGGGCCAGAGGAGGGGGTGTTACTCACGTCGATGTTCCTGAGGATGACGCACTTTCCATTGGTGTAAAGAAAATTGTTGCCCTTAGGGTCGCCGCCGATGATTTTGGAGACACCCCTCTCCACCTGGGGGAGGCTGGCGAACACTTTCTCTGCGGAAACAAACGCAGCGGGCACTTCAGGGGCAGCCCCTGCGGAGCTACGTAGGGAAGGGGGCAACATCCACCGGTCTCAGCGGGTCACCTGTTGCCTCCGCCAGGAGGGGCGGCTGCCACTTTTAAGGAGCGCAGGGGATGGCGCGACTTCCTGGCCCGCGCCCCCGACCAGGGCCCTCGGGGACCCGGGTTCCGCCGGGCCGGGCCCGCGGCGCCCAACTTCGGGGCGACCCCAGGCTCGGGGTCG